ATAATATTTTCTCTAGTTTTAATTTTTGATTCATTTATATTTGTCTGCTTTATTGTATGGATTATTATGTATCTTTATAATTCAGAAGTAAACCAGCTAGATAATAGACAGAAAATGGGAACTCTTTATTCAACAGTGAAAAACGAAGCTAGAGATTCGGATTAGATAATTTGGGGAGAGAGATTTAGCATTGCAGAACCTGTGCATTTAATCACTACACAGAAGCAAAGACTTAGAAATACAGTCACAGGAGATATGCCAAAGATGAAGAAAGGAATTAGAAAGTTGAAAGCCAAGAGACAATAGTCACCTGTGGGGAATACTACTGAAAGGGCAAGAAAGTCGAGAACTCAAATGCCCAAAACATTTTATAATAAGACTCTTTAGACAGAGTGTTGTGAAAGGAAGTCAGATTTGAGTGGCTTGAGGAGCACATAGCAGGTAAGAAAATGAAGAATATAAGCCATTCATATTTTTATGTTTGTTAGACATATTTGGTTCTTTTGTGAACAAACTCTCTGTTTATATCTCTTATATTAGTTATATTTTTTTATGTGTGTAAGAATATGTTATATTAATTAAGGTTTTTAAAAATATTATGCTGGCTAAATATGCTGCAAACTTTTTTTGACATATTTTTTCCTATTGTGGTTAATGTAACCTTGATATCAACTGTAGTTCTGCTAGTTATATAAGAACCACTTTGGATTACATCTTATTCTGTGATGACCTTGCATTTCACCCATTCAAATAACATATAATTATTGCTTTCACTATCTGCTCATAAATAATTTTTACAAGAATTCACTATTATTTTAACAGAACTTTCACAGCTCACTACAGCAATTCGCATGCGGATGCAAATGGTGTATTTTAAAACCCCTGAATAAGAACTACAAATTGTAGAAAGAGCCAAAGATAATAAATTTGCTAAAAAGTAATCTTTTCCAAAACATAAGTTTAAGTTACTATTTTGCAAAGAATGCAAAGATAAAGTAATAGATATTGGGCTAAACTCATTCTGTTTATGTGGGCTAAAAAAATAAGTTAAGTCTTACTGTAACACAAATAAAAGCTATTAACTACATGGCCAGTAGCTTTCTCTAAAGTATAGAGAAGTGAGAAGATTGGCTTTCGGCAATAGAATTAAAGAGTGGTGTAAAAAAAATTGACCAAAGTGTTTATATCCATAATATTTATAGCAATGATGTAGAATTTACCACAGTACTTTTAGATAATTTGTTACCAGATTGAGGCCTCACAATTTTTATGACTGTATATTTTTATTTGCTCATAATAAATTTCAAAAGAAATAGAGGTTCAATGAATACTTTGCATAACAGTTAGCTTTATATAAAAGAATTTTTTTAAAGAAATTAATAAATTAAGAGTAGCATATGAGATCAATTTTTATCTATTTGGTTAAAAATGTAACTTAGTTCAGTTAGATTAAATATTTCTTTTAATAATTAGAGTTTCTAACTTATTCTCAAAAATTTGCTTAGAAAATGGAAAAACATTTTCTATTTACTAATATCTCCAAATACTGAGTGGCACATGTCATAAATGAATAAAAATGACAATATTTATATTATATTAACTGCTCCATTAATAATTTTCTAACATTTACATTCGCAATTAAAATATAGGTAATATATGTGTGAAAAGTGCTATATATACAAGTAAAATATACAGCATAAACAAGTGCTAAATTCTAATTTAATTAAAGGAATAACCATCTAATTAAACATTGTAATCATCACTACTTCTTAGGGGCCATAATAGTATAGAGGTTAAGAAGAGCACAAGCCTGGAATGGAATGCAGTAATTTGAATTTGGCTCTACTGCATGATCCGGGGAATGCTTAGCATCTTTTAGATAAATGTTATATTTAAATGTTACATTTTAACATGGCAAATTTAGGGAAGATAATGGAGAGAAAAAGTGACTCTTCATTGACAAATACTTCCACTGTGTGTGTTTTGGGGTGTTGAGGGGTGGTGAGGTAACCTTCCAGGCAAGAAGAAACTGTAGAAATAAAAGATGACTTCTTAGCCAACAAAAACACAGCTTTGCAGGAATTATCAACAAAGCAAAAAGTAACACGTTTCAGGATAAGACCAAAATCTGTGACTTCACATTTAAATCTTTAGTAGAGTTATCAATACTATATGTATATAAAAGTGGACATAGAAAGCAAGCAATTTTATCAATGCAGAATAGAGCGCCAAACATTTCAAAGAAAACTCAATGCCTTTTACTTGACAAAATGTGTGATCTTTGGCTTGAGGTTCTCCATTTGTAAAATATAGGTGTTCATGAAGGGAGTATTTACAATTCTTTTCAGGTCTAAAATTTCTAAGGTCATAGGTGGTTGCAAGCATTTCAGTGCAGCTGAAGGGAAGCCAGATGTGCCTGAGTTGAAGAGAAAGTAGTTTTCAAGCTCAGGATCTTTTGATTCTAGGCAGAGCGACAGAGTGAGTTGAATTCTGTTTTTATTAAATGGGAATAGAAAACACTCACATTTCAATAAGCCAAGTGTTCACAAGGCAGTCTAAATGATGCATTTTTTATCAGTAAGAACAAATTAGGGGTTAAGTAACCTTTATGGTTATTTCAATAACACATTAATTATATAAGAAAATATAATTTCTGTGAGCATATACCGTTTACTATGTTCCAATGTGGCAGGGAGTCCATGCAACCATAAACCAAGCCACCATGAAGTTCATGTGAACTTCCTTAGAAGGGTCTACCTTGTAATGTTTAATCTATAATATAACTGCAAATATAAGTTTTTCCAGTTCATGTTTCATAAGACACAAATGCAGAAGGTTTCCGTACACCGGTGAATTACTGAGAGTTCTAATAACTGTTATATTTGTATAGTATTTGATTCTAAAAATTATCTTAAACAGGCTTTTCTCTATTTCTGTATTTCTTTTTATCAATTGTCTGCTCAAATAAGAGTATTCCTTTAAGTAAGAGATTTTAAAATGATCTGAACTGAGTATACTTCATATTTTGTTGCAAATTGTATGCTCCATAAATTTTGTATCATTTTAGTAATCAAATGTTTTATAGGAAAGAGTTATTAAAGTATTCGTTAATTTCAAATCAGTGAGTGTAATGAAATGGCATTATATTAGCCATTAAAATAACTCAAAAGCCATTTCAGATTTTGTATAAATTTTAGCAGAAAGTAATTGGAAAAATAAACATTTTCCTCTTACTTAAACTACCAATTTCACACATACTAAACTTTCATCAAATTTCACAATGCATCATTAACATTTCAAGATTGTGAGAATTTTATACCATGATATGCTAATGCCTCTCCTCCTGATCACAACATTAAAAACCATGTGCTTACAAGAAATAAAAAAGACAAAAAAAACCCCAAGGCAAAAGAAAAAATAAGATGCTCAAACCAAAGGAACATTCAATTCTACCTTGGTACAGAAAGCTTAGAAGCAATTTCACCTGTTCCCCAATTTGGAGTTGATTTGTTGCTTTTTTTTATTTATTTCTGTCCCTATACATGTGGAAGATCAGAGATAAAGGGGAAAGGGATAAAGATCAATTTCAGAGGCTGTAAAAAAATGTGATTTTGTGCTAATTTATCCTAGTTAGTGGCAAGTAACCAGTGTTCCTTCAGTTTAATCCTCTGGGTCTGATATTCAAAAAAGCTTCTAAAGATTTATTGATAAATATCTCTGTGTTCACTATTTCAAAACAGTAAGGGTTAAAAGAATGACATAAATAAAGGAATGACTTATAAAAAGAATTCTCTTCTTATTTTTTTCTTATAATAGTGGCTTAATGTAGTAAGAATTAATATTAAGCCTCACTTTATTTTGAAACAGACTCGTTAATGTCGGGAAAAAATACTCTTTTCTTCCACAATCAAGAATATTGAGATTTGAAGTTAAAGTGAAATTACCTCATGTATTCCACATGCAGTTCCCAATCACAAAACCAATACTGAAATCAATTGATATGGTCATTTTTAGCATAATGTTGAATTAAAGTGTAACCAGCTTTCAATAACAGGGGGAGATTTACCATTGTCTTGACACAGCATGCATATTTCATAATGTCAATATGAGAAAGAAAATGCACACAGAAAATTTTAAAACTTAAATATGAGAACAAATGTTGAAGGTCAATCGAGCTTCTTTTAATTGCTTAAACATTTCAGAATCCCCACTATAGATGAGGAAAGAATCTAAAAAGTTATCTTAAACAGCTATAAAGTAGTGTGTCTCATTTTTTAAACAATTATTCCCTGGGCTTTTTGTTGCACATTATCTGAAAGATTTGGATGCAGTCTTCAAGGCACAGTGTCTACTCAACTCATAGCCTCCACAGATTACCAGAAGTGAAGTCTGACCTGAGACACTGTGGAAACTGCTAGCCAATGGCAATCTTTGGGAGGGAACCTGTTGTCCCTGATGGATAGATGCTCTGTGACTGGGATGCCAAACCAGTATTGGCCATGGGGTAAGGCTAGGGAATGCGATGGGTGGGGATGAGTTCCAGAAGACCGGAGAGAAAAGGGAAGTGTGAAGGGTAGACTCATCGCCCATTTCTCTGAGAGAATAGTGTCTGACCGAGAGACAGAAGGCCAAAAAGCACATTTTTTTTTTGCAGAGAATGTAAGCTTTGCCGCAGTTATTTGAAGTCATATGAGAATTAATTGTTTCTAGCTGACTTTCTCCTACTTGAAATGACATTTCCCCATTTCCTTCCTTCCTTTTCTTCGGTCTCTGTAGATGTCCTTAACCGGGACCAGGGCTTAGCGTGGGAGTGCGGGAGGCCGTAGCAGCAGAAACTAGTTCAGCCGCTGGAGGACTACGAGTGGGTCATTGACCTCTTTTCTCCAGGAACTCTTTCCTAGGCCCTTTCCCTTTACCAAACCCACCTTGTCACCATTTCCTTTGAAACCTTATTCCCTGCCCAGCTCTCCCTCCTCCCTCTCGCCTGTCCTTCTTCTCACCTGTCCACAGCAATGGCCGTCATAGAGTAGATGCTGGCGAACACGGCTGTGATAGGGAAGAAATTCTGGAAGCGACAATAGTTGGCGCCGAAGTACCACTCGCTGTGAAGCGCGTAGATGAAGTTGACCAAGGTGTTGAAAGCTGCCATGGAGGCGTCGGAGAAAGCCAGGTTCACGAGGAAGTAGTTGGTGACGGTCCTCATGCGCTTGTGGGCCAGGATGATCCAGATGACTATGAGATTCCCTAAGACCGCCACGGCCACCACCACGCCGTACGCGAGGGACCAGAGCGCGATGCGCCAGGACGGTTGCACGAACTGGTTGGTGAGATTGGACCGCGGCTGCGAAGGCGCCGGGGAAGTCTCGGGCAGTCCCAGCGTGGGGGACGAGGCGGAGAGATCGCCGGCTTGGATAAGCTGTTGCAGCCACTCAGCCTCAGCCACTCCTACCGCTGCCCCAGACGCGAGCGCCTCACTCAGGCTCCCGGCATCAACGCCCTCTCCTCCCGCGCCTGTCGTCCAGTTTGTGACCGAGGGCAGAGAGGCCATCGCCACCAGTCTGCAGCCCCGGATCTGCCCACTCACCCGCCGCCAGCCTCAGCCAACTCCCCTGAAGTTCTTATTTGCCTCCTGGTCTTGGTTGCTGGGCGGTCCTCAGCCCCCACCCCCTGGAAGCGCTGCAGAGAAGGTACCGCTCCTCTTGTTCCTGAAGAGATGCTTTGAACAAGCAGGTGATGGAGAGTAAGGGCGCCACTTCGTCCGAGGAGTTTGCGACTTTGGCAGGCAGGCAGGATGAGACGATCCGGAAGAGAGAGATTAGGAACTGTCCCCGCCGGGGATCTCGGGGATGGCCTGGCACCGGCGGCGGAGCACTGAGGCTCGGATGCTGCGGCGCGCTTTATAGTCTCTTATAGCCCCCTGCTTTGGTGACGTTGTAGGGGCCGCGGAGCTGACCAACCCCTTCGCAGACAACGATTGTACTCCTTTCCTCCACCCCACCCTTCAGATTTCATTCATTCTCTATTTGCTGCGGAGCAGCTGGAACTTGAAGGGTGGACATCTCAAAGAAAGGGCTGTACTTCCTCACACGTAATTAAAATCCTGCCAAGATTGGTTTTCCTCTTTAACTTCAGGATATTTTGCTGAGGTCCTTGTTCTCAGACATTTCTGTGGGCTGTTCATTTCTAAACCAATGAAACCATTCACCGTTAAACTGAAGGCACAATCCCCGGAGCTTTTCCCTGAGAGAGTGTGTGGGTGCAGCTTGCTGCGGGCTATGGTCATATTGTTAGGTGTTAACTGGCTTTTGGAATTTCAGTCAACTTTCTGCCTGCGTGTTCATGTTATCACTTCTCAGATCCCTTTTCCTCTCGCTCTCACTTCCAAAGTCCCCTGTTCCTCCTCTTTAATCTCTATCACCATGAGAGACTACGTTTTGGGAGGCTTGGCTTAGATTGGAATGCCATAACGCACAGAGGGTAAATTAGAAATCCCAAGATGTGGGTTTTTTGTTTGTTTGTTTGTTTGTTTAAACACGACAAGACTTAGATTTCTTTATTATTCTGGGATAAACGTATCCTGTAAGCAATCTGAATACATACACTCGGTTATACAGTTTTGGACATTTGGCGCTTTGGTTTTCAGGGCCTGACCATGAGGATGAGCACCAATAGCCTTAGTTTCCTGGGTAAGTGGGCAAGCCTGACTTCTGAGCTTTGGCTGGAGCATGTGAACTAGAGTGCTCTGTGCAGTGCCAGCTGTAGGAAATGGTCTCTGCTTAGACTGTAGATAGGCAATTTATCAGGATGTTCCAGAGGCCAAGCTCTCTTTTATTAATTTCTCGGGGATAGATATGCAGGAATTCAGTGTTAAACATAATTTAACAATCTCCTGAAAACACTTGAAAATTTTGAACCTCAGTTTTCACATTTGAAAATGAAAAATTTTTAAAAAGTCTAATTTACAAGATAATTATGGGGGTGAGTAGTTTCAACAGAATTCCTTCAACAACACTAGGCAAGAGGGAGACCTCAGTAAATGTTAGCTACTTCAATTTTATCATGGTGCATTTCATCTAAATGTTTTCAGTTAAAATGAATCAAAGTGTAACCGTAGGGCAACTGAGTCAGGGGCTTATGCTGCCTGTGCCGCTCAGCCAATAGACCAACACAGAAGTTGGGCTATTAGGACAGTGTTTATTGTCAGAGCATCTGTGATTTGAGAAGGCAGCAGGTTAACACCTTCAGAAACTGCTTTACTTTCTCAGTCCAGCTTAGGGTATTTAAGGGGACATCTGGGAATTATTCCAGAGGCTACATGATGGTTCCAGGGGTATGTCATGCTTCCTGGAGCCTTCCCTCTGGTGACTTGGTTCTCTGGTGGTGTTGGCAACCAGGAGCAAAGATGGGAGTAGTCTGGAAAGAATGCTAGATCAGAAGGATTGTGGTCAGTAAGCCTAAGGGCATTAATCATAAGTTTCAGGGCAACTTTCTATGGCAGAAGATATTCTAAGCTCTGGGTCAAGCTTCAGGGGCTGATCTATTGTTAAGCTATGGGATAAAGAAAGGTGAGGCTGGGGACGCTGTGAGGCCTCTACTACAGAGGTCCCAACCAGGCCTTTCTTCAAAAGCAAGTTTTACTTGCTTCAAAAGAAGTTAGCTTGTAATTTGTGAATATTTTGAATTCTTTAGTTTCCCTGTTCAGAGCATATTCTTTAAAAAACTTGCAATGATTATTTCACAAATGGTTGTGCAGGGTGGCTTGTGATGAATAGTGTTTTCCTTTTTATAGTTTTTATGATGAAAACTATAGTGTATAGAGCTAAGTGTGAGGCAACCTGATAATTACATTGACAAAACCCTTATGCAAAATAAATGCATGCTGAAAGTCATAATTATCAAGGGTTATTGTTTCCTATTTCTTCCCAGAGAGGCCTGTGAAAATATATGATAAATTATAAGTTAATAGAGACTCCACACTCTTGCTTATTAATTCTAAATTAAACCATTTTCTTTTGAAAGCCAAATTATTTCTTTCTGCCAATTTACCTTCCTGAAATTACTTCAGTTACAAATGAAAGCCTCTCTCTTTCCTAATGAAGGGAAGAATTAAAAAAAAAACAAACTTCGTATAATACACACCACTTATCAAGATTATGATATGGATCATTCTGGTGGTTGATAATTAAGTATATTTTGATCAAATATTTTAAGTTGTAAAGTTGCTTAGTTGTGTAGAAGTCTATTAAATCTATTATACTCTTGCCTTAATTATCCATACAGAGTATCATAAGTCGTGATTCTATTTTCCTTGGACTTATATATGGGTAAGGTGATATGACAAAAAATAAGTGATAATGATAAAATTAGAACTAGTTAGAGTGCAAGGGCTTAAAAAAGGTCTTTCTTTTCAGAGGAAGAGAGGAATCCAGGTCAAGGCTTTCCTTTTAGATCTGTCTTACATAGAGAGAATTTCCCTGTATCCCTGAGCAGTAGTACTGAGTAGTTGTTATTCATTCATTGCTTCAGTCATCCTCAGATATGAAATGAGTATACTTCCTTCCAGGAGCTATGCCAAGTACTAGGGATGTGGCAATGAAACAACCACATATGAACCCTGTCCTTCTGGAGCCTGTGGTCTAGCAGTATTTTTGACATTAAAGCAAGTATTATAAGTAGTAAGATAGGAAGTTACAGAAAAAAAAAATGGGAGTGTGTAACTGAGTAGAAGGAGGTTGTACTCACTGGAGTCTAGATTATGTCAGTTTCTCTTAAAAATTTCTTTGTGAGAATGAAATGAAGTGCCAAAAAAGACAGGCTTACCAGGAGTTTACACCTTAAAAAATGGGAAGATTTAGGAGATAAGAGAAGTGTAAGAAAGAGGGATCCTGGTTAAGAGAATTTGGGGAATAATCTGGCCATTGTAGCTCCAGAATCTGAATCTGCTCTTATCTAAGTGCACTCTGATGGCTTCCTCATTCTTCTTTATCCTCTTTCTCTTACCATTAGAATCTAGCCTTAAGCATGAACATTGAGGTCAGGAGCAGAGGGGCAGAGGACATGGTAACAGACCAGGTGACTCTTAGAGAAGGATCCTATAATTTTGCATTTAAAAACTGAAGCTATTATTTTATTTTTCAGATTGCAGACTAAAATTCTGATGATCCTTTCAATATTTTTTTTTATTATTTAAACCAAGGTCCCGTCCTTTCAGTATGAGATCATCCAGAGAGAATTTTTGCCTTTTAATGACTCTCTTTTATTTAAGCTATATTAATGTAGCCCGAGATTATCAGGACAAGAAATCACATATTGAGATATAGGTAATGGAATAGAGATGAAGAGAAGAAGGAAGGTTATCTACATACCTTGTGATTATATTTAATTGATAATGTAGGTTTATTGCCAAAAGCATAAGCTTATTGACCCTGTTGTAATGAAACAATAAAGAAAATACCATTATCAGCAACAAAACATTTTTGTAATAGGAAGGCAGAGAGAGGAAAAATCAAAACAAAACGGGGAGTTTGTGTGAACTTGCACCTACACAAATCTCTAAGGATGCTGGGAAGTAAGCTAAGCATGGTAAATAGCTTAGGAGATGTTAATAAGTTTTAGATAATAGTGACTAAATCTTGGTCTGACTGCATGAGTGTAATATAAATTATAACCATTTATGTGAATCCTTGTATTTATCTTAAAGACCAAGAAGTGTTTACCCATTTTATTATGCATAATAGATTACATTTCTTCTAAATTTTATTTGCGCTCAGTGTTTTTGCTTAGAATACATGTTAGTAATGTACCCAATAATTTGTTAAAAACTTATAATAATAAAATGGATACTGGTCATTACTTAATTATTTTTTTCCTCTCTGACAACTCAAGGAAACAGTATGGCATATTTTATACTTGTATTTTTATTTTACAAGAGTCTCCTTTTTTCCTGCCTATAGAATTCCAGAAGTCCAACAGCCTTTCTTCCTTTCATCCTGCCTCTGTTCTCCTTAGGCCAAAATAGTGGTTTCTGCTGAAATAGTTAATTGGATCAATGCATCACATGCCTAATCTTTCCAATAATAGTTTATTCAGCCACACTCTTGGCATTGTCTCCAGAACACAACATTCCCATCTTTTGAAATATGGACAGGCTGAGAATTTTACAAATCTTTCTTTTTTCTTCTTCTTCTTTTTTTTGTTTTGTTTTGCTTAACAGTTCCTTCCTCAAGTTATCTCTTTCCTCTTGCATTTTACCACAGGCAGCAAGGAGAAACCAGGCCTCACCTTGCACACTTTGCTTAGAAATTTCCTCAGTTATATATCCAAGTTCATCAGTTACAAGTTTTACCTTCCACCCAAAAGCAAAATACAATTCAGCCAATTTTATAACAAGGATAATCTTTCTTCCAGTTTTCAATAACCGATTCCTTATTTCTTCCTCATATCTCACCTGAATCTCCTTTAATAACCATATATCTAAAAGTCTTTTAAGGCAATCTAGATATTTTCTATGACATGCCTCAAAATTCTTCTGGCTTCTATTACCCAATTTCAAAGCCAATCCCACATTTGTTACAGCAACACCCTACTTCCTCACAGTTTAACCTACAATTTTATTATTTATTCTTTCATTCTTAACTTTCTCTCCATCCGTGAGGCT